AAAACAAACACCACTGTAACTCAGCAGAAGTCTGGATAGTTGATTACAATAGAATGACTCATTAATATTTCTAAAGATTATGCTTCCGGCAACAGAGATTCATCCATTTGCCATTATAGCCTCAGTTCAGGTATATCATATATAGAGAAAACTAAGGCAGGAAAAGACAAGACACTAACAGGCTCTCATTTTTGTTCATTGCTAATAAGTGGGCCAGTAAGTACATCAAAGGCATACATGTCCAATTGATTATTATTCCTACTAATTCCTTCAGCTTGAGGAGGAGTCTCTCTCTTCAGAATATTTTCTTTGAAGGACCTCTGCATTTTTCTGGTCTTCCAAGAAGGGCATTTTTAGTCTGCTGCCTCTAGTGGTGAGATAAGAAGTCAATGTCTACCCCAGAGTCTGGCTGAAAAGATAATGGGCTGTTATCCTCTGGCAGAGTATCCTGACCCCCAAGAGATAAAAATGCTTGGAGCTGGACTGAGAGGTGAAAACCCATACTGGGTTAATCTCCAGTGATAAGCAGACCAAGTCATAAAAAACCCTTACTGGGTTAGTCTCCAGTGATAAGCAGACCAAGTCATAAAAAGAAACCTATGACCTTCCAACTTTCTCACCTGAAAGCATTTCTTCTTCTTCTAAAATTATTATTTTGAGTACTGGTGGTTGAACTCAGGGGCATTCAACCACTGAGCCACATCCCCAGACCTATTTTGTATTATATTTGTATTATATTTAGAGACAGGGTCTCACTGAGCAAAAGCACCTTGCTTTTGCTGAGGCTGGCTTTGAACACACAATCCTCCTGCCTCAGCCTCCAGAGCTGCTGGGATTACAGGCATGCAACACCTTGCCTGGCTAAAATTATTTTATTTATTTGTTTATATGTGTTGCTAAGGATCGAATCCAGTGCCTCACACATGCTAGGGACACTCTGCCACTGAGCTACAGCCCTAGCCTACCTGGGGGCATTTCAGTAGTGTTTTATCAGATATATGTATTACAATAATGCTTTCTTTAATGTACACTTTAAATATTTTTTATTTATTTTATTTTTTATTATTTTTTATTGGTTACACATGACAGTAAAATGATCTTGACATTTCATACACTTCATATATTTTTAAGAATATATTTTTTAGTTGGGCTGGGGATGTGGCTCAAGCGGTAGCGTGCTTGCCTGGCATGGGTGCGGCCTGGGTTTGATCCTCAGCACCACATACAAACAAAGGTGTTGTGTCTGCCAAAGACTAAAAAAAATAAATGTTAAAAATTCTCTCTCTCTCTCTCTCTCTCTTAAAAAAATACATATTTTTTAGTTGTCAATGGACCATTAGTTTATTTATTCATTTATACATGGTGCTGAGAATCAAACCCAGTGCCTCACACGTGCTAGGCAAGTACTCTACCAATGAGCCACAACCCCAGCCCATATATTTTTAAAATTTTAATTGTTTTTAACCTTTCCAGTTCAGATGTTTGCTTTAGGGAGCTTGACATCACCTGGAATTCCTTTGAAATCTTAATCCAAACATTCCTGTTCTTTTTGATCCCTTGCTCAAGTGACTTCTCTTACTGTCCTTGTACCTTCTCAGGACCTAAACCCTTCATTCCTCAGCTTTCTCTTTTTCAGCCTTCTGCTCTCTTTATTTAGACTTCAACCAATTTACATTTTAACCACTCCCTTCCAAATAACTCAATTATATTTATTTAGAGAACTCAATGAGATAATATAGCTAAAGCACTGGCAAGTGTTCATTAAATGGTAGCTAACATAAACATAAATAAAATTCTCTTCCTCCTTTGTCATTCTATTATACCAGCCATATATGTTTATTATACCAGACATATATGTCATACACTTCTGGGCAGTTGAATATTATTGGAAAATATCACTAAACTGTGCAAACAGATGACAGTAAACTCATGCTTCTATCCTTAACAGCCAAGTAATCTTTATCTTTCTCTAATCAGTATTTTGAATTTTGAGAGCACTCTAAGCTTTCTCCAATCTTTTTAAATCTTCCCATCTCTTCCTAATTCTTATTCTCTTTTCACAGGGGGAAAAAATGAAGAAAGAAAGAAAGAAAGCATCAGGGAACTTCTCCAACTTCAGCACCAAATCTGCAAAAGTTTCCTGTATTTGCTCCTATCCTTCCCTGTTTTCCTCCTGTGACAATGGAAGCACAGTCTGGTTTACTGCTAAAAGCCAATGACTCCTGTTTTCTCCTACTCTGTCATCCTCATCCACATACCTTCAACGGCTCTCCCCTTTGGCTTCTTCTTACCTATATTTTAAAATATCTAAATAGACTGCATCTTAGAAAATCCTTCATTTTATTCTAGTACTTTGTTATCTCTCCCTTATTATTCCCACCCCATTTTTAAAAAAAAAAAGTTTGTCTATATTTGCTGCCTCTAATATATTCACTTCCCATTGTCCTTTGCCATTGTAATCAGATTTCCATTCCTACATTTCATGGAAACTTGCTATCTGCTTTATCAATAAACCCTTTATTCAGTAAAGCCTTCTCAGGTTTCATTTCAATTGACCTGCCAGCCACCACTGGTAGACTGGATCACTTCCTCCTTTTGAAACTCAATGGTTTTATTAATGGCCATTCACCTAGAATGCCTCATAATATTCTGCTTCCAGTGATTATTTTTCCTTATGGTCTTTTCCACTTTTCTCATCTTTATGGTTGTGGGGATTGAGCCTACGGGTGCTCTTACACAGAATTACAACCCCAGCCTTTTTATTTTATTTTTTAAAATATTGAGAGACAGGTTCTCACTAAATTGCCCAGACTGGCCTTGAACCTGCAATCTTTCTGCTTTGGCCTCCAGAGTCACTGGAATTACAGTCCTGCGCTACAACACCTGACTTTTCTTTGTCCAAGAGGTCCATCAAGGGTCCATTATTTTCATACTTTCCTCATTTCCCTCCTACCCACCTATATATTGATTCATATCCCAGTTTAGATCATCCTCCTGATGTGCTTTTCAACTTGACACTTATCCACCCTTAGGCTTTCTGCCTCTAAAGCTGTTTCTGCTGTGTTCTCTCAGTGAAGGACTTCAGATCTACCCAACTTCCCAAGCCAGATAGCATCAGACATCACATCATTTCTTGTTTTCTTTCACTCTTCACATTCAATCAACTAACAAGCCTAGGCCATTCTGCTTGAAATAGGTCTCAAATAACTTCAGCTGACATCCAAGCCATCATTCATTGTGTCATCTTCTTAAGGGGTCCTCCAGTTTTCAATCTTGTTTTTTCCAATCCATTCTCCAAGCAAACGAGAGTGATTCTTCAAAAATGTAATTATTAATTATGAATGTAATGCACTCCACTATTGTCATGTATGTAAGAAATAATAAAAAAAAATGTAATTATTACTATTTTTTTTTGTACTGGGTATTGTACCCAGGGATGCTTTACCACTGAACTACATCCCCAGTCCTTTTATTTTTTTATTTTGAGACAGGGTCTCCCTCAGTTGCTTAAGTCCTGGCTAAACTGCTGAGGCTGGTCTTGAATTTGGGATACTCCTACCTCAGCCTCCCCAGCTGCTGGGATTTCTGGTGTGTGTCAACGCACCAACCAAAAATGCAAATTTTATCACTAACCAAAAATGCAAATTTTAGGGCTGGGGATGTGGCTCAAGTGGTAGCGCGCTCGCCTGGCATGCGTGCGGCCTGAGTTCGATCCTCAGCACCACATACAAACAAAGATGTTGTGTCTGCTGATAACTAAAAAATAAATATTAAAATTCTCTCTCTCACTCTATATCTCACTCTCTCTTTAAAAAAAAAAAAAAAAAAAAAAAAAAAAAAAATGCAAATTTTATCACGCCACCTGTATTCTTAACATCTTTCACAAGTTTCTTGTCTTCAGGATAAAGCTCTAAATTCTCCAGCATTTCCTTCTCTGTCTGGTTTTTTCACTCCCCTCTTTTCATACAATCGTCAGCTGGTTTGAATTTCTTTGAATTCCTAGAATACACGCTTGTAGCCTTAGAGCTGTTCTCTCAGCCTAAATATACATTCTCTTCCCTTGTTTTTCTAACCAACTTGCAGTCAACCCTCACAGTTTAACTAAAATATCACTTCCAGGAAACCTGTTACTGATCCAGAGGCATTCTATACCCATCTAACTACTAAGAGCGTTGTCTTGTAATCCTCTATAGTGTATGTCTGCTCTAAGTTCCTAAAGGGCAGAAACCAGGTGCCCTTAAACTTTCCATCTTAAAAACCTAAGAAAGCGTTTGGCACACAAAATGGTTCAATTTATATTTGTTGAATAACTTCTTTGGAATGAGGTTGCCAGGTGAATACAAGAAAGGTGGAAACTTAAAAGGGACAGAGTTGAAAATCTGTAAGGAAAAGTGGAATAATACGGGGCCCATAGGTTTTTCCATAAACTCTTTCCTCTAGAAGCTACCCTGCCTGCTTCAACGTGGGGATCAAGGCCAATTACTTCGCCTGAGGCCACGGCAACTACAGGCGCCCGAGGCCTGCGGTGGGGAGCGTGCCGTCAAAGACAAGGGAGGACAATAGCTTGGAATTCGGCCTCGTGTTTCCGGTGGGGCAGCCTCCCGCTAGGCGGGTGGAGCCCGCGGGTGGGGGCTCCGAGCCCGGCCCACGGCGAGGAAGCGCGGCTCCCAGCGCTCCCGCTGCCACCTCCACAGACGCCGCCGCCCCGCCCCGCCCCGCCCCGGAAGTGACTTGAGGCCCGTCCGGAACCTCTGGGCCTGGCGGCTGCAGCGTCACCAGCGGAGCCGGTGCGGGGCGGGCAGAGCGGCCGCTGCCGCCGCCAACGAACCGGGGACCGCGCGGGGCCCAGCAGCACACCGGCCAGGGGAGGGGGCCCAGCCGTCGGGCCGAGAGCTACGGGCCGCCGGCGGCCGCGGGGCGACGACGACGCGGAGGAGGCGGAGCCCGGAGAGGGGTGGGGGCCGGGGAGGGATAGGGTGGGAGGGGGTGGGGGGGTGTCCCTGGGCTCATGGAGCCGGTCGAGCGGGCGGGAGGCGGGGATCCCCCGGAGCCCGGCGGGCGTCCGGTGCAGGGACTGCGGGGCTTCGTCCCGCAAAAGGAGATCGTGTACAACAAGCTGCTGCCCTACGCCGAGCGGCTGGACGCCGAGTCCGACTTGCAACTGGCCCAGATAAAAAGCAACCTGGGCCGGGCCGTGCAGCTCCAAGAGCTTTGGCCCGGGGGCCTCTTCTGGACCAGGAAACTCTCCACGTAAGTGGGCACGGGTCTGAGGCAACGGCTGGAGGGGTGTTAACGGGGGATGGGCTCTTTGTCCGGATGGCTTAACCCGCAACTCTGTCTTGGCTGGCGCTGCCCCCTTGCAAGTGTTTGCAGGGTCGTGACAGAAGCCTGTGAAGCACTGAAGCCTCCTCCCTGCCACTTTGCCCGGGGACCTCTCGGGTCCTCTACAGTCCTCTTCGTCCTTACCGGTTACTACTCCCCGGGTTGTTTCTTAAGACTTGCGGGGCCCTGGGGAAGAAGGAGAGAGAAGAGCGGTCCCCAAAGGTCCTCCTTGGAGATTTGCGCGAGGGAGAGACTGGGCAGAGAGGTTTTGTCTTTGGGGAACTTTGACTTCCCCACTTCTCCCTGTTTCCTCTGGTTCTTTCTTCCCCTATGATCCCGCCTCTTCACCTCTCCGTTAAGTTTCTACTAACTTTGTGAATGGGAAGGAAGCCACAGGGAGACTTCTGGTTTCTGTTTGTTTTGTAGATTTGATTGAAAAGATTGGCATAAAATCAGCCCTCAGCTCATTCTTGGACTGTAGAGTAGACGTTGAGAACGTTGTCTTAGAATCTAAGGAAAGTGTGTTGCTTCTGTTGTGACATTTCCTTTGGGGAGAAGTTTACTATTCGCAGGAAAACAGTGAAGAGCGCCGTCAGGATGTCCTGGGAGTTATTAGTATCAGGTATATGTGAGTTTTTGAGTCGTTTAGGTGAACATAACATTGATTACCCAAGTCGGTTTGAGGAGTACTCTTGCTTTGTATAAACCAACTGTAAACTAGTGTCACAGTAATTGGGGGGGGGGGTTAAAGGTATTGGGGCAGCGGGTAGAGACTATTTGCTAGATAGGCATCTGCACTGTCAGCCTTTTATAAAAGAATTTTGCTGTATCTTGTTGGTTGACTGCAGGTAAAGTCTGTTACATTGTATGTTCATTGCATGTGGTTACAGATGGCTGAACACACAGGACATAAGTCACTTGTTCAGTGTTTACCCAAATCTGCTGAGTGAACTGGGTGATGACTCAGGGTTTTGTAATGTAATAGTATTAAACATATTCTTATCTGCCAATTTTTAGGAGGCCTCTGACAAATTTCTCATCACCTCTGACCGGTTGATGGGAGTAATTACCTTTTTAATTGAAAAAGAGGCAAAACTAAGACTCTTAATTTGCCCTCTTCAAAGAGTGGCCATAAAATTTTGAAGTTAACAGCTCTTCTTTTGTCTGTAGTATAAAGAAGTTTGTGGTGTTAGGATCCAAGGGAGAAAGGGTTGGGGAGAGGAAGGCACCAGAGAGAAAAGAACAACTTTTAGTCAAAACAGAATATTTTATAAATGACTAAAATTCACTTTTTGAAGTAAGCCTCCTAGGTGTTTGTGTTAATTAGACATAGTAAAAATAAAATTTACATTGTTAGTTCCAGAAATTCCCTATTTAAGTCACTTGGTGTAGACTTGCCATAGAATACCATTTTTAGGGACTAGAACAGCTCTTTTTAGGTGCACAATATATAAATATGCGAGTTTGGGACTGGAGTTGTAGATCAGTGGTGGAGTGCTTGCCTGGCATGTCTGAGGCACTGGGTTCAATCCTCAGTACCGCGTAAAAATAAATAAATAAAGGCATTTTGTCCATACTACAACTTAAAGAAAATAAAGTAAAAATAAATATGCCAATGTGTGAGGGCACGTTTGGTTTGGGTGCATGAACCTAGAATTTAATTTACACAGGCGCAGTAAAATATATTCTAAAGTATTTTATTTTTAATGAATTTGATATATTGGCACCAATAGTTTATTTTTATGTGGTGCTGAGGATCAAATCCAGTGCCTCACATGTTGTAGGTGAGCACTCTGCCCTGGCACTAATAGTTTTGTTACTGTTTGGCTCATTAGATAAAAGTAGTTACTTAGGAAGGACTAAAAAATGCAGTGGAGACAATGCTTGATGTTTAGGACAGGGTTGTAATTAAATGGCTTAATACCTCTGAACCCATAATGTCTTATATATATAAAGTGTAAGAAGTGCTGTCAGGTAGAATCTAATTTTGGAATTGTGATTAAATGCTGGAAACTGATTCTTGGGACTGCACTATGAAAATTTGAACTTGAAGGCCATATTATGATGTTGGGTGTGTTTTTCTCCTAAATCATGTTAAGATGACTGTGTATTGTGCATATTTTTTAAAGCATCATGTTGCATAAGTTAAAACCTGAATAATGTCAAAACGTGGTGATAGCTGAGTAGTGATCATAAGTCCTAAGAATGGAAAGCAGTAATGAAATTAAAGCCTAGTTTCTCCCACTGGCTTTGGGACTGTGGAACAATTATTTAATCATGTATTTCAGTGTTCTTGTGAATGAAATAAGGGTGTTGGACTAAATAATTCCTACGAATCATTCCTATTCTGTTGTTTTATGATTTTATTATTATTTTACACTTTTTAGTTTCCTATAAGCCGGTGTGTATTTTTCTACAAAGATTGAGCAGTTTGTAAAGTACTTGAAATAGTTACATAGATAAGTACATTCCTAAAGAAGACCAAAGTATGAAGGTCATTCAGGCACTGGGACTCTATCCCCTACTGGAACTGTACAACCCTAATCATGGGTTTCATAGGTGTGTTTGAAGCCGAATTCTGATTGAAATGCTGCTACACTTTTGGGCTTGGGACATCTACATTTGGCCCCTTTTCACTTTTTATTTCTTTTTAGTAAATTAAATCCGTTCTGAGATTTGCATGTCTATTTAGCATCTTTGACCAAAGGTGGTTTCTGTGTCTTTTTTATTTTTATTTTTTTTGTGTCACTATGGATCAAACCTAGGGCCTCACACATATTAGACAAGTGCTCTACCAGTGAGTGAGCTACATTCCTAGCCCTTTATTTTGAGGGGCTGGAATTGTAGCTCAGTGGTACAGTGCTTGCCTGGCACGTGTGAGGTACTGGTTTTGATCCTCAGCATCACATAGAAATAAAAAATAAAATAAAGGTATTGTGTCCATCTACAATTAAAAATATTTTTAAAATTTTTATTTTTAAATTTCGAGACAGGGTGTCACTTAGTTGCTGAGGCTGGCCTCCAACTTGTGGTCTTCCTTTCTGCCTCAGTGTCCTGAATTGCTGGGGTTACAGGTTTGTACCACCATGCCTGGTGCCTGTATATTTTAAAAATTGGTCCTGGGATGTAATACAAACTCTCACAGACAATTTAAAGTTTTAGAACTGCCTGTTTCAGGGAGATTTTGTGATAGAACAGGGCAGTTTTAAGAATGGAACAAACAAATTAGAGAGGTTAAGGAAAATAAATAAATTGGAGAAAGTAAGGCCAAAATAGTGGTCTTTGGAAAATGGCAGTGTAGACAGATTATCGACTCAGATAACTTGTGTGGCCCAGGTAGAGAATGAAGGGAGTTGAATAAAGAACTTGAGGGGCTGGGGTTGTGGCTCAGCAGTAGAGCACTCGCCTAGCATGTGCGTGCCCTGGGTTGGATCCTCAGCACCACATAAAAGTAAATACAGGTATTGTGTCCAATTACAACTAAAAAAAAAAAAAGAACTTGAAACGTGTTTTTGCTCTTGACCTTCTGGGCATTACATAAGAAGCAGTGAAGTCTGGAACACCTCAGTTTATCTAAACCTGGCATTGCCACCAAGATTCTCATCTTGGTCTTATTTGACCTCTTTTTCTGATTGAAATGTTGCTACACTTTTGGGCTTGGGACATCTACATTTGTAGATGTTCTCCTTTTGAAGGCACAGTTGAGATGACTAGTGGGTTTTCAAATTTAATATTTACTAGTGGAGTATTTTATAAAAACAATTTTAAAATGTGAGATGGGATTCCTCAAGCAGATTAAAATGGCTTGTTTTTCTTTTTAACACTTCAGTGATAATAGAATCCCTTACAAGCTTACCCCATGGATGATAATTTCTTGCTTTTGTGCTTTAGAGTTTTGATTTTAGTTAGGTAATATTGTATGGTACAAAGCAAATTTAAATACCTTGTCTGTCATAGTGACAAAAGTTCTGTTTTTTTTTTTTTTTTTTTTTGCTGCTGGGGATTGAACCAAGGGGTATTCAACCACTGAGTCACATCTCCAGCCCTTCTTGAAATAGGGTCTCACTAAGTTACTTAGGGCCTTGCTAAATTGCTGATTCTGACCTCAAACTTGGCAATAGGTTCAGCCTCCAGAATCCCTAGGATTATAGGCAAGTACCACCACACCTGGCTTATATTCTGTATTGTTTTATGATTAAATGAGTGTGGAATCATTTCATTTGCTGATTTGTGGCTCCCTTTTAGGTTGAAGAGACAGTTTAATTGTTGTAACATTATGTAGTCTTCCCAGACAGATTATTTTAGTCAAAGCCACATAATGCATTTAAGAAATTTTAAGCTGGGCACAGTGGTGAATGCCTGTAATACCTAAGGGATTGGGAGACTGAGACAGAAGGATCATAGTTTTGAAGCCAGCCTTAACAACTTATCGAGGCTATAATCAACCTAGTAAAATCCTTTCTCAAAATAAAAAATAAAAAGGGCTGGGACTGTGGTCCAGTGGTTAAGCACCCTGGGGTTCAATCCCTGATACCAATAAAAAAAAAAGTTTAGTAGAAGTATGAGTTATGAAATATACTGACCTTTTCTTGTGAAAAGTAATAAGTGACTGCAGGAGCAACTGAATTCAGATCATCTAGAAAGCAGGAAATGCTAACTGCTGAATCTCTATTGTCTATTAACGTGAGATACTTACTAATTTTTTTTTTTTTTTTTTTGGTACCAAGGATTGAATTCAGGTTTAGGGCCTCACTAAGTTGCTGAGGCTGGTTTTGAACTTGCCATTCTCCTTGCCTTAGCCTCCTGAATCATGGAATTACAGGCATGTGCCACCATGTCCAGCACTTAATAATTAATGAGTATCTAATGTGTAAATAGTAAAAGTACACCATAAACACAAGTGCTTTCTATTTGCAAAATAATCTCAA